GTATGAAAGGCCCCTGGGAGCTAGTGATCATGTGGTTCTGTGCTTCGACTACATAGTTGAGCTTTAAGTGGAGAGAGTAGCAGGAATAAGGAGGGAAAAGCCAAACTACAAAAGGGGGAACTACTCAGGCATGAGGAACTTACTTCAAAACATTCAGTGGGAGAGGGAACTGACAGGAAAACCAGTACAAGATATAATGGACTATGTGGCAGGAAAATGCAAGGAGGCAGAGGAGAGATTTGTTCCCAAGGGAAACAGAAATAATGGGAAGAACAGAACGAGTCCTTGGTTCACCCAAAGGTGTAGGGAGGCAAAAACTAGGTGTACTAGAGAATGGAAAAGGTACAGAAGACAGAGAACTCAGAAAAATAAAGAGATTAGCCGAAGAGCCAGAAACGAATATGCACAGATAAGAAGGGAGGCTCAGCGACAATATGAAAATGACATAGCATCGAAAGTCAACACTGACCCGAAGCTGTTGTACAGCCACATCAGGAGGAAAACAACAGTCAAGGGGCAGGTAATCAGACTGAGTAAGGGTGATGGAGAATTCACAAGAAACGACAGAGAGGTATGTTAGGAGCTCAACACGAGATTTAAAGAAGTATTTACAGTGGAAAGCAGTAGGACTCCAGGAAATCAGAACAGGGTGGTACACCAGCAAGTGCTGGATGAGGTACATATAACCAAGGAGGAGGTGAACTTGACACCTCAAAGGCGGTGGGACCAGACAACATCTCTCCGTGGGTCCTTAAAGAGGGAGCAGAGATATTGTGTATTGTGTGCCATTAACAAAGATCTTCAAAACATCATTTAAAACTGGGCAACTCCCTGAGGTATGGAAGATGGTAAATGTAGTCCCAATTTTTAAAAAGGGAGACAGACCTGAGGCACTAAACTACAGACCTGTATCACTAACGTGTATAGTATGCAAGGTCATGGAGAAGATCATCAGGAGGAGAGTGGTGGAGCACCTGGAAAGAAACAAGTGTATAATTGACAACCAGCACGGTTTCCGGGAAGGAAAATCCTGTGTCACGAACCTACTAGAGTTTTATGACAAGGTGACAGAAGTAAGACAAGAGAGAGAGGGGTAGATCGACTGCATTTTTTTTGGACTGCAAGAAGGCCTTCGACACAGTTCCTCAAAAGAGGTTACTGCAAAAGCTAGAGGATCAGGCACACATAACAGGAAAGGCACTGCAATGGATCAGAGAATACCTGACAGGGAGGCAACAACGAGTCATGGTACGTGACGAGGTATCAGAGTGGGCGCCTGTGACAAGCGGGGTTCCACAGGGGTCAGTCCTAGGACCTGTGCTGTTCTTGGTATATGTGAACGACATAACGGAAGGGATAGACTCAGAAATGTCCATGTTTGCAGATGATGTGAAGTTAATGAGAAGAATAAAATCGGATGAGGATCAGGCAGGACTACAAAGAGACCTGGACAGGCTACAAGCCTGGTCCAGCAACTGGCTCCTTGAGTTTAACCCTGCCAAATGCAAAGTCATGAAGATTGGGGAAGGGCAAAGAATACCGCAAAAAAATATAGTTTAGATGGCCAAAGACTGCAAACCTCACTTAAGGAAAAAGATCTGGGGGTGAGTATAACACCGAGCATATCTCCCGAGGCGCACATCAATCAGATAACTGCTGCAGCATACGGGCGCCTGACAAACCTACGGATAGCGTTCTGATACCTCAGTAAGGATTCGTTCAAGACTCTGTATACCATTTACGTCAGGCCCATACTGGAGTATGCAGCACCAGTTTGGAATCCACACCTAGTCAAGCACGTCAAGAAATTAGAGAAAGTGCAAAGGTTTGCAACAAGACTAGTCCCAGAGCTACGGAGATTGTCCTACGAAGAAAGGTTGAGGGAAATCGGCCTGGCGACACTGGAGGACAGGAGGGTCAGGGGAGACATGATAACGACATATAAAATACTGCGCGGAATAGACAAGGTGGACAAAGACGGGATGTTCCAGAGAAGGGACACAGACACAAGAGGTCACAATTGGAAGTTGAAGACTCAGATGAATCAAAGGGATGTTAGGAAGTATTTCTTCAGTCAGGCCATGGAATAGCCTAGAAAGTGATGTAGTGGAGGCGGGAACCTTACATAGTTTTAAGGCGAGGTATGATAAAGCTCATGGAGCATGGAGAGAGAGGACCTAGTAGCAATCAGCGAAGAGGCTGGGCCAGGAGCTATGAATCGACCCCTGCAACCACAAATAGGTGAGTACACACACACAAACGCACACAAACACGAACACACACACACACGAACACACACACACACACACACACACACACACACACACACACACACACACACACACACACACACACGAAGAGGCGGGGCCAGGAGCTAGGACTCGATCCCTGCAACCACAAATAGGTGAGTAAATAGGTGAGTACACACCATTATCAATGATGTTATATAACGATAAACTTGTTAAAAGGCCACAATACAGTTTATGAAATATAGGAAGAAAATGTGATTGTCAAGACACTGAAATATTATCTGGAGAGGATGAGCTCAGTTGCGCTAGAAGTTCGCTCTTGACTCGTTATATTAAGAAAGAGGGGAAGAAAATGCTAGGTAGAAACAGAGGCGCTGTCTCTACACACGAAGATTGAGAATTACAAAACTTCTCAAAAGCTACAGACTTTCCGGAGAACGAAAAGGAACACTGTCACTGTGGTACAGCAGTATGGTCGTCGGGCAGCCTCGAGTACACTGTAAACAGCTACTAGTTAAAAACATCAGCTAATCAGGGTTGACCTCCAGACAACCTGGCCTCATACCTACGCTCTAATCTGGAGGACAGTCCCTCACTAGCTCTGGTTGATTATAAATACTATATTTTCTAATATGCTATCTGACTACATTGCTGCTCTGTTGTACACTCTGCAAGCACTGTAAATTATGGTGTTGGGAAAATACAGGTAGTCATAAAGCTCCCTTTGGTGTTTGCCTTTGCCTCTATTACTCCTTGATCATTCCTCTACAGGTGACTTGTCCTACGGTCAGGTACTACAAGCCTTCTAATTGTACCTGTGTTCATAATACTATTAAAGCCACTTATTCTCTCCTGGATGGAATACTGCAAACCTGGAGAATGTGTGAAGAATCTTTAGTGCTCACACAAGTTACTGGGAACTTTTGAAGCCCCTCGACCTGCGTCCCTTGGAATGTTGATAGGAGAGATATACAATAAACTAAACCTGGACAGCGCTTTAGGGATTGGTCCCAAATCTACACACTTGAATCATTCACCATGAAAGGAAGAGGTTCTGCAGATGATGCAAAATAATCCCCCGTGCATCACACACACATGCACACACACACACATTCCCTTAAAGAGGGAGCAGAAATGCTGTGTGTACCACTAACCACAATCTTCAACACATCCCTTGAAACTGGGCAACTACCTGAGGTATGGAAGACGGCAAATGTTGTTCCCATATTTAAAAAAAGGAGACAGAAAAGAGGCACTAAACTATAGACCAGTATCACTGACGTGTATAGTATGCAAAGTCATGGAGAAGATTATCAAGAGGAGAGTGGTGGAGCACCTGGAACGGAACAAGAGTATAAACGCCAACCAGCACAGATTCATGGAAGGCAAATCCTGTGTCACAAATCTACTTGAGTTTTATGATAAAGTAACAGAAATAAGACACGAGAGAGAGGGGTGGGTTGATTGCATCTTCTTGGACTACAAGAAGGCCTTCGACACAGTTCCTCACAAGAGATTAGTGCAGAAGCTAGAGGATCAGGCGCATATAACAGGAAGGACACTGCAATGGATCAGAGAATACCTGACTGGAGGCAACAACTAGTCATGGTACGTGATGAGGTATCACAGCGGGTACCTGTGACAAGCGGGGTCCCACAGGGGTCGGTCCTAGGACCAGTGCTATTTTTGGTATATGTGAATGACATGATGGAAGGGTTAGACTCAGAAGTGTCCCTGTTCGCAGATGATGTGAAGTTAATGAGGAGAATTAAATCAGATGAGGATCAGGTAGGACTTCAAAGAGACCTGGACAGGCTGGACACCTGGTCCAGCAACTGGTTCTCGAATTTAATCCCTCCAAATGCAAAGTCATGAAGATCGGGGAAGGGCAAAGAAGACCACAGACGGAGTATAGGCTAGGTGGCCAAAGATTGCAAACCTCGCTCAAGGAGAAAGATCTTGGGGTGAGTATAACACCGAGCACGTCTCCGGAAGCACACATCATCCAGATAACTGCTGCAGCATATGGGCGCCTGGCAAACCTGAGAATAGCGTTCCGATACCTTAGTAAGAATCGTTCAAGACACTGTACACCATGTACGTCAGACCCATACTGGAGTATGCAGCACCTGTTTGGAACCCACACTTGATCAAGCACGTCAAGAAACTAGAGAAAGTGCAAAGGTTTGCGACAAGGTTAGTTCCAGAGCTAAGGGGAATGTCCTACGAAGAAAGGTTAAGGGAAATCGGCCTGACGACACTGGAGGACAGGAGGGTTAGGGGAGACATGATAACGACATACAAAATACTGCGTGGAATAGACAGGGTGGACAGAGACAGGATGTTCCAGTGAGGGGACACAAAAAGAAGGGGCCAAAATTGAAAGTTGAAGACCCACATGAGTCAAAGGGATGTTAGGAAGCATTTCTTCAGTCATAAAATAGTCAGAAAGTGAAATAGCCTAGCAAGTGAGGTAGTGGAGGCAGGAACCATATATAGCTTTAAGATGAGGTATGATAAAGCTCATGGAGCAGGGAGAGAGAGGACCTAGAAACACTCAGTGAAGAGGCGGGGCCAGGAGTTGAGTCTCGACCCCTGCAACCACAATTAGGTGAGTACAATAAGGTCAGTACATAGACACACACACACACACACACACACACACAACACACACACACCACACACACACACACACACACACACACACACACACACACACACACACACACACACACACACACACACACTCACCAGGGAGTGTTGCAGGCGTGGGTGAGGGTGAGGTAACGGACCCCAAGCTCGTACATCATCCTCAGAGAGCCGAAGCTGTTGCTGATGCCGTGACCTCCCTCGATAGCGATCAGACTGGCGATCTTGCCCTTCTTAAACACCGTCTTGATGTCTGCAACCAAGGAACAACAAGTTTGGTGAAAGAAACAACAGACGTGGAAAAAAGTCAAAGGATTGATACGAAGAGAAACTGGTTGAGTAAGACGCATGTGCAACTTTCAGGTATTTTTATCCCCCCAAACTTTTCGCCGTCAAAGCAAACTTCTTCAGTCGAATACAGAGGTGACTAGGCATGAATATAACAGAGGCAGTGAAGAAGTTGATATGACCACCTCAAAACAACTTCAAGGTTGTGGCGCTGGTTACATTTTCTTCACCTCTCCACTTCTCTCTCCATATTTAGTCAAATCTGTATTTGACTGGAGAAACTTACTAAATAGGCGAAACGTATCGGAAACAAAGAAACATAACTATTGGGCATGTGTCTCACTAATCCATCATCGATGCTTTACATCATTATTATAATAATACGAAGAGATGTAATTGCATGGTTGATATAAATTTAGAGAGAGGGTTGACAGCAACCAGAAAGAGAGACGATTGGTTCATTGCAAATACGGAAGAGAATTTTCTGATTGATTAAAATATACGGAAGATAGAAGGATGAATGATAATGAAAAATACGACTCATCGATTGAGTGATGAGATGTTCTATTGGAACAGAAACAGGTGAATGATTACTTGATAAAAGTTACATTGGTCATGGGAACAATGTAGTGTAACTTCCACCACTGGACGAGGGAACATGATAGCCGTTTTTTCTACGCCCATGAATATGTAGGAACAAGATAGCGTGACTTTCTACCAGTGTGTACGTGGGAACAAGATAGTGTGACTTTCTACCGGTGTGTACGTGGGAACAGAACGTGTGACTTTCTACTAGTGTGTACGGGGGAACAAGATAGTGTGACTTTATACCAGTGTGTACGTGGGAACAAGATAGTGTGACTTTCTACCAGTGTGTATGTGGGAACAAGATAGTGTGACTTTCTACCAGTGTGTACGTGGGAACAAGATTATTTAGAATGTAGTGTCTGTAACCATGTTAGAGACCATCTCCAACACCTGCCACCACACCTGTCTCCACACCTGCCACCACACCTGCCACCACACCTGCCACCACGCCTACCAACACACTTTCCTTCACGCCTGCCACCACATCTGTCACCACACCCACCAACACACTTGCCACCACACCTGCCACTTCACCTACCAACACACTTGCCACCACACCTGAACACAACATCGGCCGCAACACCTGCCTTCACACCTGTCACCACACCTACCACCACACCTGCCACCACACACCTACCACCACACTTACCAATACACCTACCACTACACTTGTCAACACACCTACCACCACACTTGCTACCACACCTACCACCATACTTGTCAAAACACCTACCACTACACTTGTCAACAAAACTTACCACCACATTTGTCACCACACCTACCATCACACTTGTCGACGCACCTACCACTACACTTGTCACCACACCTACCACCACACTTGTCAACACACCTTCCACTATACTTGTCACCACACCTACCACCACACTTGCCACCACACCTACCTCCAAAGTTGTCAACACACCTACCACCACACTTGTCAACACACCTACCACCACACTTGTCAACACCCCTACCACCACATTTGTCACCACACCTACCACCACACTTGTCAACACACCTTCCACTATACTTGTCACCACACCTACCACCACACTTGCCACCACACCTACCACCAAAGTTATCAACACACCTACCACCACACTTGTCAACACCTACCACCACACTTGCCAACACATCTACCACCACACTTGTCAACACACCTACCACCACACTTGTCAACACCCCTACCACCAACATTTGTCACCACATCCACCACCACACTTGTCACACCACCTTCCACTATACTTGTCACCACACCTACCACCACACTTGCCACCACACCTACCACCAAAGTTATCAACACACCTACACACCACACTTGTCAACACCTACCACCACACTTGCCAACACATCTACCACCACACTTGTCAACACACCTACCACCACACTTGCCAATACACCTACCACAACACCTGCTTCAACACCTGCCACCATCAATGATACCACACATGCCACCCAAAAAGTTTCTTTTCTTATGCCAAACCCAAGTTGAGAATAACATCCAGTATTGGGCCCCTATATAGACGAGATAGCTCCTACACCTATGACAGCAAGGAAATGAGTGAGTTACTTAACTCCCAGTATGACTCAGTTTTTAGCGGACCTAAATGAATTTTTTATGACCGAGACTCAGAATTTGGTAGATTGAAATTTATCTGATATTATCCTAACATTACATGACTTCGAAAAGGCGAGAAATGACATGCTCATCCACTCTGCCCCAGGCCCAGACTCGTGGAACTCCGTGTTCATCAAGAACTATAAGAAGCCCCTATCACATGCTTTTAGCATTCTATGGAGAAGAAGCATGGACACATGGATTATCCAACAGCAGCTAAGAACAACAGACATAGCCCTACTCCACAAAGGAGGCAGTACAGCAATATCAAAGACCTACTTACACAACCCAGGGCAACATGGGTTTAGAGCAGATCGCTCCTGCCTGTCCCAACTACTGGACCACTATTACAAAGACCTGGATGCTCTTGAAGACAAACAAAACGCAGATGTAGTATACACAGACTTTTTGCGAATGCATTCGACAAGTGCGACCACGGCGTAGTACCGCACAACATGCGTGATAAAGGAATAACAGGAAAAGTTGGTAAATGGATCTATAATTTCCTAGTAAACAGAGTAAAGTCTGAGACGGCTACAGTGAAAAGTTCTGTTCCACAAGGCACAGTACCTGCCCCCATCCTGTTCCACATCCTAATATGTGACATAGACAGGGAAGTAAGCCGCAGCACCGTGTTTTCCTTCGCAGATAACGCTCTAAATTGCATTAAGTGTCCTCCTTTGAAGACACTGCAAGACTCCAGGCGGACATCAACCATATCTTTAAATGAGCAGCAGAAAGCGATGTGAAGGTCAATGAGAAATTTCAATTACTCCGATTTGGAAAAACGAGAGAAAATTAAAATTATATAGGAGTATAAAACAAATTCCAACCATGCAATACGGCGATAAACTAGTGTAAAAGACCTGAGAGTGATAATGTCAGAGGATCTCGCATCTAAAGACCACAACATTGTATCAATCGCATCTGCTAGAAAAATGACAGGATGGATAATGAGAATCTTCAAAACTAGGGATGCCAAGCCAATGATGACACTCTTCAGGTCACATGTTCTATCTAGGCTGGAATATTGCTGCACGCTAACACTGTATTTCAAGGCAGGTGAAATTACTAGCCTAGAATATGTACAGAGAACCTTCACGGCACACAAAAGTACTTGGGACGGTTGAAGTTCCTCGACCTGTACTCACTAGAACACAGGCGGGACAGATACATGATTATATACACTTGGAAAATGCTAGAAGGATTAGCACCAAATTTGCACACGAGAATCCCTCTCTATGAAAGAAAAAGGCTTGTTAGGCGATTCAACATTACCCCAGTGAAAAGCAGGGGCGCCACTAGCACAATAAGACACAACACAATAAGTGTCAGGGGCCAATGACTATTCAACTGCCTCGCAACATCCGTAAAAGGAATTACCAATAGACCCTTGGCTGTCTTCAAGAGGGCTCTGAACGGGCACCTAAAGTCAGTGCCTGATCAACCAGGCTGTGATTCGTACGTCGGTTTACGGGCAACCGACAGTAATAGCCTGGTTGATCAGGCCCTGATCCACCATGAGACCTGGTCACAGATCAGGTTGCGGGGGCGTTGACCCCCGAAACCCTCTCCACGTATTCCAAGTATACATCGGCCACAACACCTGCCATCACATCTGCCACCACACCTGCCACACTTGCTATCACAACTATCCCCCTACACCTACCATACACCTGCCTCCACACTTACTACCACACCTGCCACCACACCTGCCACTACACCTGCCACCACACCTGCCACCACACCTGACATCACACCTATCTTACAGCTATCTGTCTTACAGTGCTAGATAATTCTCCTTCACCCACATATCCGTCTGACGGTGACAGATGTTGTCTTATAGTGCCAGATAATTGTTTCACGATGATAGATATGCCTCGAAGATATATATATGTATATATATATACATATATATATATGCAAAACAACCACTCTGAAAGAATAGAGAAAATCCAAGCGCTTTCGTGACTACTCACATTATCAGTTCCTTGATAATGTGAGTAGTCACGAAAGCGCTTGGATTTTCTCTATTCTTTCAGAGTGGTTGTTTTGCATATTCTGAAATCACCTGTTTACTGTGATCTTATTGCACATATATATATATATTATAATATATATATATATATATATATATATATATATATAATATATATATATATATATATAATATATATATAATATATATATATATATATATATATATATATATATGATATATAAATATATATATATATATATGCATATAAACAGAGAGAGAGAGAGAATGTGTGTGTTTGTGTGTGTGTGTGTGTTTGTGTGTCTGGGTGTGTTTGTGTGTGTGTGTGTGTGTGTGTGTGTGTGTGTGTGTGTGTGTGTGAGAGAGAGAGAGAGAGAGAGAGAGAGTGCGTGTGTGTGTGTGTGTGTGTCTTACAGTGCCAGATACGTCTCCCAGTACCACATATCTCTCTCACGGTGCCAGATATTTGTCTCCCGGTGCCTGATTCGTCACACGATGCCAAATATCTGGCAGTCTTGTGAATTCTTATTCCCATCCATTTTCCTTTCTTGGCGGGTGTAAGATCTGGATAAACACTTGTTGATGATATGAATATTGTGGGTTACAAAACCTTTGATTTTTCTCCAGTAATCGGAGGTTCGAGCTTCAGTGTTTTCCGATTGCTACCGTGTTTTCCGGCATATAAGGCGCAGGAATATATAAGACTTGTATCGTTACCTTACTAAACAACTGCTAAAGCGTAACTCAAAGCCTGATCTTG